TTTTTCACATCTTAGTTTAGGTGATTATGTCATCAGTTCTCTACCCAAAACTATTACTCTCATTATACCGTCGACCTACTAAGAATTAAACACAACGTGTTTATTAAGAAACTACCTTCTTTTTCTCTTAGTATATCACGTTTACGAACGTGAGAGTAAGAATAGAAAGTCCGTATAATTGTTAATGAAGCTTTTTATCTTGTTTTTCTATTATTCACAAAAAATAGTTCCTTTCATTATTGCAAAATGTCATTTTTCTTATCTTCGAATCTAATACAATTGTTATGATGATGCTTTAGAAGCATATTATACTTTGATGATCAAAAGAACGAGTTCATCCTGAAAATAAAAGAAAATAACTGAGAACAAATAATACTAGAACTGTAAAAGCATTTAGATGAAAATATGATTTCACCGATGTTACCATATCGATTTTTTTTCTCATTATAATACACGTCAAGGCTTCATACTTTCTCACAAAAAGGTATTAGTGCAGTCCTTACAGAATTAAAATGTCAAACATGATGTAGTTGTTGTTGCCAATCACATGAAAATTGTTTTAGTCGATCTATTGTGGGAGACATTTCTTTATCATCCTTCACTTTACTCTCTAAAATTTCAAAAAGGAAGTAGTTCATATATTCTAATAACATGTTAGTGATATACGGTCTTTGATCATATATGAACAATGTATACCACGGTTTGTGTAAGGGCAAGGGGAGAGAGTGAAGGAAAGGTTATAGATTTCTACTTGTCCCTCTCCATAATTCAACACTTGTTTTAGATCATGTTGTTACAAGAGATATTTTTGAATCCAATCAAAGTCTGTCAATTCTTGATAGTCCCATTATTATGAAGGGATCCCGAGAACTTAAATTTATCCCATTTACTTTTGTGCTATGTAAGCTAGTATCACCTTTGATCCTTTTAGTCCCGTTCGTATATGAGTCTAAGTTAACATAAGCCGAAATTATACCCACATATCACACACTAAATGTATCTAAAAGAAATAAAAGAACTGAAGGCATTAAAGTGAAAAATATGAAACTCATAGTAGCTTCATAGCATGGAAGTAAAACAGAATAATTGCAATTTTTCTTGGATCCATGATTATCATAGGTCTATATGCATCTTGCGAATAAGTATATCATATCAGTCATACCATTATTTGCCTCACTGTGTTCAATTGCTCTATTGGCAAAGTAAATCGTTTACAACTGTAGTTTCCTCTTGATTCATCCATCTGTTAAGAACTTCCATTGTATATCAACGTCTTCGTTTTTAGTTGTGATCAGATTCGTTGAGTTTCCCATTTTATTTTCCTTTTCAGTAATCAATTATGTTCTAATATGATCTACTTAGAGGTCAATAGTTATTGTAAAATTCTTTACATAAGAGATCAAAAGACTTACTAAAATGATTTCATTCCTTTAAATAATTAACTCTGCAAGGTCATGTGTGAATTAGAAAAGTTCTTAAACTTTATACAGCCAAACCTATCTTTCGAGCTAAAAATTCTCTGCTTTCAATAGGCATCACAAGCCTTAGATTGAGAGTTCAAAGTGACATTTTTTGATTGTACTAGGTCTACATAGTTGTTGAACATCGATGCATAGGAAGAAGATTTAAAGATTTATAACCAAGATCATGAGACTCGTCATAATGAGATGAATCAACTGTATCTTTTCACGAAGCGAAACTACTTTCAACAAAAATTTGACTATAGCCTTCATATGTAAGACAATACTGTCTATCTTTTCAATATAATTTTAACAGTAACTATTGTCGCAAGAACTTTTTTTACCTGCTCAAGTGTCAAATATGAATAATTATATAAAGACTTAATCACTGATCAGAAACCATATCCATCATCATGTCATTTATATGGAACCTCATGAAACGAAAACGTGATTAAAATTGTTGCCTTATTAGATGATAATGTTGACCATAACTCATAAGTACTGAGTATAATCACAGAAAATGCGACAAAAATTATCACGGTTTTTTTTTACATGGGATACTGTCCTTATCGACTTTTCTGGATTCATATGATAGTTATTGATACAAAGGTAATAATTGGGTAAAAGTCTGAATATTGAGAATTGATAGTTAGCGAACGATCGAATGCCAATGCTTTACGAGTTTCTTTAATCAAGTAGCAAAACAATCGAACGAATCCAACGAGCGAATATCGCATGAATAGTCGACATTGTTTATTCCATAGACCTTTTCCCTTCCAGTAGTTGAAAATTGGTTAGGAGTAAGGACTCGTACTGAATTGAATTTTCGATATTCTATTTTTGATGAATATTCTACCATAATGGACTCGGACATTATATATAATCAGATGGGCTAACAAAAATTTGATAATCAAATTCACTATTTTTCAATAGCTTTTGTGACCATCGAACAATCAAATATCTGATCATACCCAAGTAGAAAGCTCGAATATAGCTCAAGCAATCGAAATGAGGAGACAGAAAGAGTTAAATTTCATGAATCTTCAATATTGAAAATTTCAATGATAAAACTTGTAATAAAAGATGTCAAGTTCAGTTTGCACTATTTTTCTCTACACACTCGATATAAATTTTCAGATTTTCTTAACCACTATTAATGTCTCACGTATTTATATATCATAGATATGTTAATTAAAATTCAATATTTGTCGAGCATAATTGATTGACAACATAGTAGAATAGTTTAAAAGTACCAAATTTTCATTTCTCATTCTAATGATGAAAGAAAAATTTTTAGAAGGGATCATTTACCGAGACAACACTCATATTTTTGTGAAATACGACTGTTAATTAATGTTGAAATTCAGAGCAAGAAACTTGAATATCTCTTTCATAATTATAGACAGACTCCATAAAGATATGATTCTTACAACGAAGAACAACGAATATTAATTTCTTCAGTCACCAGATTTGTTTTAATATTTGTAATTTTTGAACCAAGTATAATAAATGATCGATCATCTCAAAAAGTTTCGAAATTTGCTCTCCTTCTATCTCGCTCATGTATACATTGAAACAAATTTGTTGATATATTTTTCTACTTGACACAGCTCAGATCGTCAAAAAACTTTGTTTCTTACAATAAAAGACATCTAAAAGGTTATCGTGTACAATAAAAACAGTTTGAGCATATGTGACACTTAATCCCATAGAAACTGCGTGGACACATTTTTTTTTATATAATGACTTGACTCGATAAGCTTCTTAAAACTATAATTTGTGTCTATTTAACATTAATTATAGAAATTAGCTTCATATAGAATCAAATAATTCTCAAAAATAATAATGACGAGATGAGAAATAGTATTGAAATAGTGAACACTCATTAAGTCGGCTTTTTCGAGAGAATGAGACAAAGAAACGGACAGGCGATAATAAGGTTTTGACCAAAGACTGTAACATGTAGACTTGTAAATGAAGGTTTCGTCTACTTGATTGATGGTCTAAATATTATCAACTGGTAACAATAGAAGCTGATACTTATGGCATTCCAGAAGTAGTGACAGTAAAGCTTTAATGCCGTATAATAAGCTTTAAGAAACTTTTTCTCTATATAGTTTGATAGAGAAAAGAACGCTCTCTTTTTCTATGCTATTGCACCATACTTCAACTAATATCATAATAATAAAATTTCGACAAGATCTGTTTTTCTATCGTATGGGATGGTTATACGAATGTTTATTTAAGGGATATTTGTTGAATAACTTTTTTTGAAAACAAGGTAGAGATCTGCGGTTTTCATCGTTTAAAAGAGGAAATGAAACTTCATTGAATCGTAAATTATAAGTTTGATGACATGATTTTTTTAAGTTTTTCAATCGACCTCTTTGAAAACAAACCTACTCCGTGAGGTGTTTACAGCGAATTCTCAATTGTCAGGTGTGTATTTAAATCATCAATAGGAAGTCTAAAAAACTGCACAAAGTTGAGATGTTTATAATTAATCATTCCGGAGTTATAGATGTTCCAGTCGAAGCTCTAAATGATTTTTCTAGCAAGTTCTGTGAAGACATAATAAATCATTTTTTGTGATACTTAGAAAATTGATTAAAGAAATTTCAGATAACGTCTAGGAAAACATAATATGCAATTCGATGTATCTTCATCTCTTCTCTTCAACGGTGAAACCCACAGATCTCTATCTTGTTTCTCAAAAGTTATTCAACACTGCATAGTATAGCCGTCCCATATGGTAAAAAAAGCAGGTCTTATCGAAATTTTATTATTATGATATAAGTTGAAGTATGATCAAATAGCATAGAAAAATAGAGCGTTCTTTTCTCTATCAGACTATATAGAGAAAAAGTTTCTTAAAGCTTACTATACGGTATTAAAGCTTTACTGCCACTACTTTTGGAATGTCCTAAGTAATACTTAAACCATCAAATAGAGAAAATCACAAATTAGAGAGTCTTTTTCTTAAGTCGTTATCAAGTAATACGCCATCGAATGAATAATTTGATTAAAGATTGATATTAGTATTTCACCAAAAATGCATACATCTGATTCATAATTTTTATTATAACAATATGTCGAAGAGATACTAACAATAGTAAGAAAAGATAACAATCTCACTCGTGAAAATTCATTTTCATATGAATTCTATATATTAATGAGTTAATTCTTTTCCATAGGCAGTTAAGATTCATCTTAGATTTAAATCATCTATCTAAGAGAGACATTTTTTTTTCTAGAAAAGTGTTTATAAGAATTATAAGATGTTCTATAAAATAAATATGATTTGAGGCAAACGCTAGAAAATCCATTCATTTTCTGTCATGTTTAGAAATGAGAACGATCATATCAGATTCTAAAGTCGCGAAGTTTGCCAAAAATTTAATACGCATTAGTCATGATTTATTAAATAGAATAATTACAGTTTTATTAATTACTGATTATCAAACACACAGAATATTATACTGAGTCAGTTTATTTCTTCTTTATAGTTCATCATTTAAAAAATAATTATATTCAATTAAAATGAGTGCATCGCTTAATGATGTTCGCATCTGGATGACACGATATCTCATGAGTAGTTATTTAACACTTGGTCTACTTGGCAATCTAATTAATATATTCATGTTTACACGAAAAAATCCTTTACGAAATTCATGTAGTTTATATCTTCTTACAATATCAATTGCTCATATTTTCAATGCCATTGTGGGCGTCGTTCCAACCATATACAATTTAGATAATGTGGATCCATCTTTATATTCATATATTTTCTGCAAACTTCGTGTTTATACGCAACACTCTGTAATTATGTTTAGTCGAACATTGCTGGTCGTTGCATGCTTTGATCGATTTGCATTATGTTCAAATAACCAACGGTTTCGTTCACTAAATAATCCAAAAGTGGCACTTCGCATTATTATTGGACTTTTAATTGCATGGCCATGTATTAATATTTATATTCCATTGGTAACAATGTTTACTGTCAATGGTTGTCTAATGACGGATTTATCTGCTGTTATTTGGGGTATTTATACTGTTATAGTACCAGGTATTCTTACGCCATTATCAATGAGCATATTTAGTTTACTGGCTATACGAAATCGTCGTCATTTACAAGAACGACTTAATGGCACTAGAAATAATGCTAACAAACGTGACTATACACTTATGATTATGTTGTTGGGTGAAGTATTGGTTTATGTTACATGGACAAGTCTCTTTCCGGCAACAACTCTATATAAAGCAGTTACAACTAATGTAGTCAAAAGTGTTCAAAGGCAACAAATCGAAAATTTCATCATATTTTTGGGCAGCACTTTTTTACCCTTTCTTGTTCCATCTTCAACATTCTACATCTTTATTATAGCTTCACGTAGCTATCGAAAAGAATGTAAGAGAGTCTTCTTACGTTTATCCAGACGCCTAACTGGACGTACGAATAGAGTATCGGCAATAGCAGGAACAAACGCATTAGTTTATCGACAGAATGAAACTCTTATCTAAAACATTGTATTTTCGTATTCATATATGACAATGAATTTTTTTTTGTTGTTGTACAAGCACAATTAACATATTTTAATGCCTCCACACTTATTTTCTTGCTTTCGATGTGTATGTAACAGAAATAAAGATTAAGTTTCAAAAAATAAAAAGGTGTAAGTTAACATAAGATGAAACCACGCCCACACGTTTTCTCCTTACTATTTTTGATTTTGTTCAAAGAAAAAACATATCACTTTCGTATACTAGAATAAATAGAATATTTAAACTCGATGTTTAATTTATTTTTTAAAATGAATATTGAAATTTAATTTGTAAAAGACTTTTTCATCGATAATTTTAAAACTATTGATTAATTAAACGAAGTATGATTAAGAGGAAAAGATTCACTATTAACAATGAATCCAAACAAAAGTATCATTCACTATTTCTAAATAATCATTTATTTCTATTAATTTAAATACATCTCAATAATGACACAAGGAAAAACAATGAGAATAGCCTGACAAAAGCATCGAGTAATATTTATTTTCTCCTTGTTCATTTTTATTAATGAAGAAGAAGATTTTTCAGATGAAGATGAAGAAATTTCACAAGAAGAACCGTCTGATGGAAAACCTTAAACAGTTAATGGTGTCACGCCAGCTATAGATAATAAATGCCAATATTTTGCAGACAAAAAGTATTCAAATTCTTACGAAAAAGATTTGATGAAGATTTTCATTTCATTTCAAAAAGATTCAACAACGCATTGTGATATTATAAGAGAGAAATAAAAACCTATTCGTATGGATTCCCAATGTGTTTGTTCTGTTCCATATCGGTCACGTAGGACACGTACTATCAAACATTCAATAAAATATGTTTTATTTTTATATGATTGATAACGCTCAACATTGATTTATATTGAAGTAACGTATTGTCTTTTTTCTTGTATTTAAAAATAAAGTTTCTTTGATTTAAAATTAACTTTTTACATCGATTACACAAGATGCTATCATTAAGAATAATATTGTTGATGCACTTTATCGTCATATAATTCATACTAAGATCAATAGGTAAAATTTTCGAGTTGATGCTCTATCACCGTTATTACCTGGATTTTCAAATGCTAATGCTCTTCATGCTGTTTTGTGGTTTTTTTTTTGAGATCAATTAATTAAGGAGCAGCATCATTTTATCAAAGATTAAAAAGCAATGGTAGGTTGAGTGTGGGTGTGGCTGTCGGTAGATGTGGGCGTGGGTGGGTGAGAAGAAGAAGAACAACACCCACACCCACTCCACACGCACACCCATAATGTTAGACAAGGTTACTCGTAGTACTTGAGGAGAGAAAAATCCGCTGGATACTGGTGATAGCAAAAAACTACTGAAGAGATTGTATTTTGAAAAGACTAACGCTTTCTCGTTTTAGTAGTGCGAAAACTTCTCTGCTGACGACCAAAGTAATACTGTAACGTACCGAAGTTGCTCTATGCAAAAAAAGAAAGAATCATATTGGGTGTGGGTGTGCGTGTGGAATGGGCGTAGGTGTAGGTGTTGTTCTTCCTCTTCATACCCACCCACGCCCACCTAAATCCACACCCTTTTATTTGTAAACTCTAAAATTTTATTAAATTCGTGCAGTTTTTCAATGTCCTCCAGAAAAAATGTTGCCGCTGGCGCGATATTTTTTTAAAAAGCCTGCCGCTGTCGTGATGATTTTTAAAAAATCTGCCGCTACCGCGCCACTGGCGAGGTGATTTTTTAAAAAAACCTGCTGTTGCTGGTGCTGTCACCACCACCGCGGCAGCGTCGCAATGAACATCTCTGGTTTATAGTGAAGATGCTATACTTGTTAGAAAACAGCGTGTGGGTGTGGATGAATGTGCATGTGACTATCCTCTATACTCATACCCACACCCACACCCACATCCACACCAATCCATACCCATATGCACACCCTACACCCGCACCCATACCCACTCCTACACACCTATACAGCCACACCTACACCCACACCCTCATCGAGGTAACAATCCTACAATCTAACGTCGATCGATTTCTGTGCTTTTGCCTTCAAATTATTTGTTAATTCGATATACAGGAGCGGTACAACTGTTCCTGTGTTAACTCAACATCATAATGCAATGAGTCTTGCATTTTTCTACAGTGAATGTATTCAATTTCTTGCTGGTTTATTTGAATTTCGCTCTGGAAATAATTTTCATGCACTTACATTTTTTTCTTATGCTGGTTATCGATTTAGACTTGGTTTTCTTCATGCTACTATACGAATAGATGCAACAGCGAGCAACTCTTTCTTTACTTATCAAACATAAAAGAACAACAAGAGAGAAACGTATACAAGAGTCGTGTGTTATTACTGCTCGGTTGCTTATCTTTTATCATGTTTTCACTGCCTTAAAAATTCATTCTTATTATTTTGCTGTCTTACAGGGTCATTCACAAACGGCGAATTGCCTTTTCATTCAATCTTAAGGTCAGCTAGAACAGTTGTCGTGAAGTTACAGGGACAACGGAGCCGGCACTATTCGGTGAACCGATGTTTGAGTACGTTTTGTTGTCACACTCCCTCATTTGCGAATGATTCCATATACTCTGCCAATGGAAACAACAAAAAGTGTCTTTTTTTTGGTTCCATGTACGTTCATGCAACCGGAACACTATGCTAGTTTTCACGAATCGTTCGATGAATCTTACTATTTTGGTCGCGAGCGTATTTACAGCCACTATGACAATAACCTGAGTGACATGCAGAGTATATCAACCAGTAGTGTCACATATGCATAAATTTGAAGACGCATCATATCTGTCACGAGAGACGAGCCTGTCTGGTGCGAAAATGCTGCATCTCATGCAAGGGATACGCATCTTGACGGTTAGGGTGCATTGCTTGTGAAAGATGACCGCATCTTCTGCGGGAGATGAAAATGCATCTCCATATTTCGGGATATGTAACACTACTCATATCAACACGAGCTATTCACCGACAATCAAGCAGACTCTAGAGACCATCACGAGCGAGGAAAAGAAAAACGTCTTGGTCGAAGATATGACACGCCATGTTGCACGATTTGGTCACTAGTCACATCGAGAAAATCCAACTGTGTTTTCGATTGACTTGCTCAAGCACTGCAAAAATGCGTTTATCCTTCGCACGCTAGAAAAGGCTGTACCCTGTTTGTCGATGGAGAAACGATGGATCCCCGGGATTCTGCACCCCTGGGAATACAATGAAAATCTTGAGAGTATGGCGAAATCCTGGAAATCCGATGAGCATTCCGGGAATACGATGGGAATCCCAGGAGTATGTAACGTAAATATATGAAACACACTAGAAATATGAATCTTTGTCATACACAAAAAATACTATTTCATCTTTTTAGAGCTTTCAAACTCAATGTATTAAGAAAACAGCAGAGATACATGAGAATAAGTCGTGCATTGTAAAATAAGCTGTTAAGATGTTATCACAAAATATATGCCGAAAGTTGAATAATGAGCAACTTGGTTGTGAAATCCACAAGTTGCTTGAGTTTCTAATCTTAACAGTAAAGATTAAAACGATATCTCGAATGGAAAAAAATTGAACACCAAATTTTAAGGAATCGAAAATGGGTAGCACATGTCGTTTTTCTTCATGTATATGAAGATCCCCTTCAAAAAAGTTACTTTTCATCAAAAAAACTGAAAATTGAGATAAATGTATGGGAAGATAGCCCCAGTTCTGCTCTTTCAGAAACAACACGATTTTTTTAAGCGATGATCCATTTGGAGACAAAAACTTTTGATAATTTCTACCATCTACTTCTTAAAAAACAGCCTTTTCAGAATAACGGCTAATGTTTTTCTTTTTTTCTCAGTTTATGCTTTCTTGATCTCGCAACCCAAATTTCTCTGTCCAAATTCATTCAATATATTTAATTTTGTTTTTTGCTTGAAAGTGCCCGTCAAGAAGCAGAACATCATAGAGTCTTTTTTTTTTAATTAAGCTTAATTTTTATTATATACAGTCACTTATGTAAATCGGGGCCCATTTGTAGCAGATTTTTGGAATCATTGAACTTGTCATCCCTTTTTTTACACTTAAAAAGTAAGCATTTCAAAAAAGGGCTCGGTCATGCCCTGGACTCTGAGACGCTCTTTCAAACAACAACAAAAAAATGTAATATATTGAATGAGTCCGGATAAAGAAAAATGGGTTGCTAAATGAGCTATTTTTGACCCTTGTTTGGTTCATATGTCTGTCCAATGTCATTGTGCAGGACTGAAAACTTTAGCATAGCGTCTCCACTTCAGTCCCAACATACTCTAAAAATTTCATACGATTTGAATGTACCTGGCCCTGAAATCGATTTATGAGGGAGCGGCCTTCAATACTATTGAACGAGAGGAAAAAATATTCCGGCGCAATGATATATATTGATATTTTTTCAATTTTTAAGAAGAAAAAAGTAAAATAACACATATATTAATCTATCATTTGTATCAATAGATCAAATATAAACAATACGTTTATTATTTGTCAACATGCAACTACTTTCACTTACTATGATTACTTTATTTATTCCTTCAATTTATGTCTTTCATCATCGTAGAATCATGACACAAGATCGTCGTCTAAGTCTTAGTGAAGCCAAAGAAGCATGTGATCCAAATGAATATAGATTATGGTATAATACAACTGTGCCCGATAATTTTCCTTTACCATTATCCGATAATCTATCAGCATATTTATATGCACCGGATTGTGCATCTCGCTATACAACAGCCGATACGTGGTTTGTTAGTTGGGCGAATGATAATTTATTATATAGTGGATTTACTGATGGAATGGTTGATAATATTTCAAGTTCTAGTGGCGCAGCCTATCCAAACACAAATATTACAACTGGTCATGCTATTATTATGGGTTCAAATCCTTTGAATTTAACAATCGAATCACCAGGTATTTTCACCAGTAATACAGGACCCTATACGGGTCGTTATCCATCAGCGAATCTTCATTATAATGGAGTATGGTATCAATCAACTTATGGTCTTTCAGATAATGATGCACCATGCCATAATTGGTGTGTTCAAGGTCCATTTATATCATTTCGTTATAGTATAGATCAAGGTAATTCATGGTATGATTATATTTTACATCCAACAAATGACACAGATAATTTATTTAATCAATCAAGTTATAATAAACAAAAAATAAAATATGGTGCATTACATTTTGTTGATTTTGGTAAAAATCAACAATGGAATCAGGATGGCTATGTATATTTAATTGGACATGGTTCAAATTCATCATTTCCGGCATCACCAAATACGTCATTTCCAATAGAATCATGGAATGAAGGAGATCAAGTATATTTATGTCGTGTACGACCATCGGTTCAAACTATGAATGATTTTAATCAATTTGAATTTTGGAATGGAATAAAATATATTCCTGGAAAAGACGGCGTTGACAAAGCACAACCATTATTTACATTTCCAAATAAAACTGGCACAGTGACAGCATCATATATACCAGCATTAGAAAAATATTTGATGGTTGTTAGTACAGCCACCTATCCAGGTATTCATTCCATGGTCAAAGAATTCGATATTTATATCTTAGAATCAAACTACTTAGAAGGTCCTTGGTCACTTGTCCAATATTTGAATAAATTTGGACCCCAAGCATATTTTCCAGTCATACCAACTAAATTTATAGGCCAAAGTCATGATATCGAAATTTTGTCTAATGGATCATCATTATGGCCATTTTACTTTGGATATAGTGCAAATTTTGCATGTTGTGGATATGAACCAAATCCACCACATAGTGGTTACGGTTTCTGTCTATTGTCATCTAAACTTGTCTTAACACCAAAATTTACAAATCGACTAATCGAAAAGGGATTAGTTCGACCACCAACTTTCATTCACAAGTAACGTTCATCGTCTCCCGATTCATTGGCACCTAGACTGAATAGCATGGAATAACCCATCAGTTGGCATTTAACAGAATATTTGAAACATATCTATGCTCACTATTTATCAACATCAATATCCCAATAACGCGCATAGCTCTTATTAGTAAAGAGAATTCCTAGTGCTCTACTGTGTATTTTTTGAAAACAAATCTAATTGGTAAAAAGAAAAAGCAATAAATAAATACTAATCTTGAAAAACAAAAGGTACTTGATGTTTCAATATATAGAGAGAATGATAATTGATTCATTTGGTTGTAGTGTGCAAAAAAAATAAAGTAGGCTTTCTAATTGTTGATAGAATCTCAGAAAAATTACTAGCGTTGATAGCATGGTGAAGTCAATCAAGTTCAAAACCAATATCACCATGATAGTGCGATAAATATTCTTAAATCCATCAAGTTCCAAAAGCATTTCGCATAGATTAGTGCATTCAGCATTATAGTCCAAACACTCAAAAGTCCAACTAAAAACTTTGATTTTTTTTCTGTAATCTGCCGAGAAAAAAAACAAGTTTTTACTGAGATTTTTGGGTGTGGGTGCGGGTGAGTGTGGTTGTGCATAAGAGCAAAATAACACCTACACCCATAATCAATGAGATAGTTATCTTTTCGAAAGCATCGTAGATAGAAACAGTTCATGAGAACAAATATGATAGAAAATTAAAGCCGAAAAAAACCGAGATATTAATCTTTCTTATTTGATATAAATGATATGAGGTGATTCGAGACAATTGATCAATGAGTATTGTAAATTATCAGCACAGTGAAATAATTCGATCTTAATTAAGAAGAATCATACGTGTACAGCACAATTGTAAAATTTGAATCAGATAAGTCAAAGGGTCAATGAAAGAAACTAGCTCATGATGCTAATGAGTTTTAAATTATTCATGAGTTGTACAAACTGTCTGAACAATTTCTACGAACCAGAGTCTAGTGGGTGTGAATGTGAGTGTAGATTTTTTTTTTCTCATTCCCATTCCCACACCACGCTCACGCTCACTCTTCTGCATTCGAGCAAAACCCAACAGGATATGCCAAAAATCGTCGACAGAAAGGATGATGTGCGTTGAAGCTTACTTAATGATTAAACCAATGTGTATATCAGGTTAATATGACCGTTGAACCTCCAAAAAGAAGAATCAAATTATATTTGACGGTCCCAATGTCATACATCACATGTATTGAAGATGTATTTTACAATAAAAATTGTTTTTTCTTCAGTATAACGATATCAAATGAATCTAATAAATTGTTAGAGCATTAATTTTAAATGCGAACATTTTCAAAATAATAAAATCTCAGAGCGCACATATCAACTTAAAACATACTGATAATTTCGATTTA